TCTTGTTTACCAGCGATGAATCACTTCCGCGTTTGTCCTTCTGGATAAACCAAGATTCCAGCAGCTTCCTCGGTCCCCACCTTTGATCCCTCGCCAAGGTCGATGCCTTGTCAAAGTCAAATTGATGTCCTGACGTCCATGTGTGGTCGACGAGTTCGGACTTGAAGCGGGTGGCGTTCGTGGAATTGGCGGCATCCCGTGCGTGTTCTTTTAGTCTTGTTTTTCTTTTTCGTCCCGTTTCTCCAATGTAGGAAGCGTCACATTCCTTGCACTGCACCTGGTAGATCACGCCCCTTTCTGCCTCTGGCGGGGTCGGGTCTTTTGGCTTGGAGATAACATTGGCAATTGTTCTGTAGGGTTTGTATACAGTTCGTACCCCTAACGGCCTAAGGGCGCGTCCCAATGCCTCCGAAATCCCCTTAACGTACGGGATGCACACGACGTCACGTGTTCGTTCGGCTCGATCCGGGCGCCGCCGGGACATTTGTTTCTTAACGCGATTGATAAATCGCTCGGGGTAGTTACGTTTCTTCAAAGCCTCCCGCACATGGCTGAGTTCTTGATTGCTAAGTGTTGAGTTAGATGGGACTGTTTCTGAACGATGAAGTAACGATCTTACAACTGAGCTTTTGTGTTGAGTAGGGTGATGAGAGTGGTAGTCAAGAAAGTTTTGTGTGTCACATGGTTTACGATATACGGATGTCTCCATCTTAAAGAAAGGTTCACTAGTTCTATGGACACGTACATCTAAAAACGGTAAGGTACTGTCGGTTTCATGTTCGCAGGTGAACTGAATTGAGGGGTGGACACTATTCAAATTGCGGTGAAAATCGGTTACGTTCTCTTTGTTAACTATTACAAACGTGTCATCGACATAACGACGGTAGAACTTCACGGGGAAATCAATGCCAGACATCACCTTTTCCTCAACATATTCCATGACGAGATTCGAGACGGTTACTGAAACTGGACTCCCCATAGGGCATCCGCTGACCTGATGATATATGTCCCCATTAAAACTAAAATTGCACTGGTTGAGACAAAAACGCAAAAGAAGTATAACGTCATCAACAAGGAGGGTTGTACGAGTGGACAACGACTGGTCTGCCAACAACCGGTCACGGGCAACCTCAACCGCCAGGGTGTTGGGGACATTCGTAAATAAAGAAATCACATCAAAGGATACCATAGCCTCGTGCGGTAGCAGGGTCTGAGCGCGTATAAGTTCAACAAACTCATGGGAATTCCGGACGCTAAACTCATTGTTTCCCGTAAGAGGGCTCAGAATCTCAACCAGATATTTGGAAAGGCTGTAAGTAGATGAACCAATAAAAGATACAATCGGGCGTAGGGGGCAACCCGGTTTGTGAATTTTGGGGAGTCCATACATCTTGGGTGTCGCGGCGTCAGAGGAGAAGAGACGACGGTATAGGTCGTCACTGATGCGTCCTTTCTTTTTCAGTTCTCGAAGGTGGTCAACTAAGTCTCTTTCGGACTTAGCAGCGGGATCTCTTGATAGCCTCACGAAATAGTGACTGTCGTTTATAACTTCATACATTTTCTTCATGTAGTCATCCCTATCAAGCACAACGGTTCCTTTTCCTTTGTCGGCCTTTAAAATCATGATGGAGCTGTCTGACTTCAACTCATTAAGAGCAACGCGTTCTTGTTGACCTAAATTCGACCCGGCCGGTTTCGCATTGTTCAAAACACTGACAACGCGACTTCTCGCGAGATTTACCCCTGTGACATCGTGCACATGTCTGAGTTTCTCTTCAATTTCGATTATGAAGTCACGTTTTGGAACGTACCGTGGAGCAAGGGCAAAGTCCAGCCCTTTGGATAGCAGACTCACGTGTCGGGGCAGAAGGGGCTTGGATGACATGTTGAAGACCGTACATTTCTCAGTCCTGGATGGCGATCTCGGAGGCAGTAGCCGGGTGAGCTTGCTGTTATGCGCCTCAGTGCATCTGTTCCTTTCCATCTCCTCGGCCTCCTTCCTTGCCAAGAACACATTCCGTAGGTCATTGTATGCTAGCGTCTGCCGTAGACTCCGCTCCGCCGTGGACTGTCGACGTCTTGCGCGGTAGATCCGCTGTTGGTTATCCTGTATGCGCGCCTTCACACAGTTGCGGCCGTAGTCCCTGGCCAACTTTCGTCCGTACGGTGTGTCCACCAGAGGTTTGCACCGTAGTCCATTGGGAATCACGAATGTGTTCTTGGCAAGGAAGGAGGCCGAGGAGATGGAAAGGAACAGATGCACTGAGGCGCATAACAGCAAGCTCACCCGGCTACTGCCTCCGAGATCGCCATCCAGGACTGAGAAATGTACGGTCTTCAACATGTCATCCAAGCCCCTTCTGCCCCGACACGTGAGTCTGCTATCCAAAGGGCTGGACTTTGCCCTTGCTCCACGGTACGTTCCAAAACGTGACTTCATAATCGAAATTGAAGAGAAACTCAGACATGTGCACGATGTCACAGGGGTAAATCTCGCGAGAAGTCGCGTTGTCAGTGTTTTGAACAATGCGAAACCGGCCGGGTCGAATTTAGGTCAACAAGAACGCGTTGCTCTTAATGAGTTGAAGTCAGACAGCTCCATCATGATTTTAAAGGCCGACAAAGGAAAAGGAACCGTTGTGCTTGATAGGGATGACTACATGAAGAAAATGTATGAAGTTATAAACGACAGTCACTATTTCGTGAGGCTATCAAGAGATCCCGCTGCTAAGTCCGAAAGAGACTTAGTTGACCACCTTCGAGAACTGAAAAAGAAAGGACGCATCAGTGACGACCTATACCGTCGTCTCTTCTCCTCTGACGCCGCGACACCCAAGATGTATGGACTCCCCAAAATTCACAAACCGGGTTGCCCCCTACGCCCGATTGTATCTTTTATTGGTTCATCTACTTACAGCCTTTCCAAATATCTGGTTGAGATTCTGAGCCCTCTTACGGGAAACAATGAGTTTAGCGTCCGGAATTCCCATGAGTTTGTTGAACTTATACGCGCTCAGACCCTGCTACCGCACGAGGCTATGGTATCCTTTGATGTGATTTCTTTATTTACGAATGTCCCCAACACCCTGGCGGTTGAGGTTGCCCGTGACCGGTTGTTGGCAGACCAGTCGTTGTCCACTCGTACAACCCTCCTTGTTGATGACGTTATACTTCTTTTGCGTTTTTGTCTCAACCAGTGCAATTTTAGTTTTAATGGGGACATATATCATCAGGTCAGCGGATGCCCTATGGGGAGTCCAGTTTCAGTAACCGTCTCGAATCTCGTCATGGAATATGTTGAGGAAAAGGTGATGTCTGGCATTGATTTCCCCGTGAAGTTCTACCGTCGTTATGTCGATGACACGTTTGTAATAGTTAACAAAGAGAACGTAACCGATTTTCACCGCAATTTGAATAGTGTCCACCCCTCAATTCAGTTCACCTGCGAACATGAAACCGACAGTACCTTACCGTTTTTAGATGTACGTGTCCATAGAACTAGTGAACCTTTCTTTAAGATGGAGACATCCGTATATCGTAAACCATGTGACACACAAAACTTTCTTGACTACCACTCTCATCACCCTACTCAACACAAAAGCTCAGTTGTAAGATCGTTACTTCATCGTTCAGAAACAGTCCCATCTAACTCAACACTTAGCAATCAAGAACTCAGCCATGTGCGGGAGGCTTTGAAGAAACGTAACTACCCCGAGCGATTTATCAATCGCGTTAAGAAACAAATGTCCCGGCGGCGCCCGGATCGAGCCGAACGAACACGTGACGTCGTGTGCATCCCGTACGTTAAGGGGATTTCGGAGGCATTGGGACGCGCCCTTAGGCCGTTAGGGGTACGAACTGTATACAAACCCTACAGAACAATTGCCAATGTTATCTCCAAGCCAAAAGACCCGACCCCGCCAGAGGCAGAAAGGGGCGTGATCTACCAGGTGCAGTGCAAGGAATGTGACGCTTCCTACATTGGAGAAACGGGACGAAAAAGAAAAACAAGACTAAAAGAACACGCACGGGATGCCGCCAATTCCACGAACGCCACCCGCTTCAAGTCCGAACTCGTCGACCACACATGGACGTCAGGACATCAATTTGACTTTGACAAGGCATCGACCTTGGCGAGGGATCAAAGGTGGGGACCGAGGAAGCTGCTGGAATCTTGGTTTATCCAGAAGGACAAACGCGGAAGTGATTCATCGCTGGTAAACAAGAACCGTGGCCCCCTGCCGGAGGTGTACGCAAACTTTATGCCTAAATAGCCGAACTTTTGTGTGCGACTCTCACTCGCTCTGTGCTCTACTGAAGATGCCTCCCGCATGGGAGGCGAAACGTTTAATTAAATTGTTATTTTTGTTATGTCAAGCCGTTTTCGTTATTACACTTATCATGTCTTCGCCCGGCTTCTGGAGTATTTTTGCATTTATAAACTGCATTTGTTTTTTTTCTCATCTAAAATACTGGACAAAAACTACTTTCATAAATAATTGAAACGGCTAGCGCCACTTATATTTTGTATTTCGACAAAAAAGAAGCTTTTTAGCGGCTCTGATCAGTAAAAAGGCCAGGACCTAAAACGTCACGATGTCGTCACATATTGCGCGCTTTCGGCACCGCGGGTAGCCCCCGTAGGTGGAGGAGGTTTTCGCGTCGTCCGGTTAAAATATGACGCACTGATATTTAGTTACTCTCTGCGTGCCCGCTGGCTTGCCCGAACCCCAAGAGACGTGGAAACCGCAAAAAAAGGTAGACGCTTACATATGATTGCAGGGCCCCTTAAGCGGCAATGTTCGATAAGGGGCGATGGTAGATTTACCACAGGGACCCAAAATTTCTCTCCAAAAACAAACTATCTAGACCAACAGGCTCCTACGTATATTATTTTTTTTTTTCTGTAGATCCCCGGGGAAGCAGAAAAGCTCTCGAAATATCACGCACTGTAGTATCACGATCGCCCCCCCTAGCAGCCAGCAGGATTGACTGGTTACCTTTGAGTCTTTCGACGGCCAGTTGTTCGAACTCCTCGAGCGAAATGTCATCCGTCGGAGCCTTGTGATAAAACTGCAACAGTGACTTTCTTCGACTCAATTCGTTCTCAGAGTCGCCGACTTTGAGGTGCCGTTTTCTTCGAAACCCCGAAAACAGCATCTTATCCGAAAGTTTCACAAGGCCGATACCCGCGCAACTTCTCCCGCAATTTTTCCGGTCGGCTAGGCCTGGCACGTTTAGGTTATTGTGGTTTGTTACAAGTGACCGCTGGAGGCAGCACAAGACGATTTCTAAATTAAGTTTCGGTTTTGTTAGCTTGCATAGGTAGCTTGTCGTTTGTTTAGATAACATTAAACTTCGGTGAAGAATACATAGAGCAAGGCCGATACCCGCGCAACTTCTCCCGCAATTTTTCCGGTTGGCTAGGCCTGGCACGTTTAGGTTATTGTGGTTTGTTACAAGTGACCGCTGGAGGCAGCACAAGACGATTTCTAAATTAAGTTTCGGTTTTGTTAGCTTGCATAGGTAGCTTGTCGTTTGTTTAGATAACATTAAACTTCGGTGAAGAATACATAGAGCAAGGCCGATACCCGCGCAACTTCTCCCGCAATTTTTCCGGTTGGCTAGGCCTGGCACGTTTAGGTTATTGTGGTTTGTTACAAGTGACCGCTGGAGGCAGCACAAGACGATTTCTAAATTAAGTTTCGGTTTTGTTAGCTTGCATAGGTAGCTTGTCGTTTGTTTAGATAACATTAAACTTCGGTGAAGAATACATAGAGAAATATCGTTTTCTCAAGTAATTTTTTATCTACCAGGTCAGGCTTTTTAAATCAACCGCAAAAATCGGTTTCTTAAAGGGATACTTCAACGAAATTTGAACTATTCCCGTCGTGTTCAAAAATAGGTTGAATATGATCCACAATATCCGTAAATGACAATCGCACGTTTGTATTTTGAGCCTGGTGGCTGTATTTTTCGTTATAAACGGCCCACTCTGGCAAGCGCTCGGAGAAGGCCCAGCGGAGACCACGTGACATCCAACGCAATCGTGACGTAGGTTGTCTCAAGACGAGCAAAGCTACGGCGAGGCTGACGTCGAGACGATGGCCTAGTCGTTCCAGCCAGGGCCGTAACCAGGGGGGGGGGGGGGGGGGTTAGGGGGTTCTGACCCCCCCCCCCCCCCCCCCCCGAAATTTTTTTCTGGGTACAGCCCTGGTCGGTGCACTGGCAGCCAGCCTATGTTAATCTCCACCTCTGCGCACGCGCAGTGGCGCCGGTCGGCTACCGGGTACCAAACCGGGACCGGTTCTCCGGTTTGCTGTAACTCTCCATTATATGCCACCGATGCACATGATTCATAGGCGAAAATAAGACAATAGACACTTTCAAAATGGCCGCCATTGACCCCGAATACCCCCCCCCCCCCCCCCCCCCCACCCCCCGAAATTTTTTTCTGGGTACGG